TCCTTAAGGCACAATTGCAAATCTAAAAAAAAAAAAAAAATCCTCACAACATATCAAAGCTGTGTGCACCAAAAGCATAGGAGCTACGAGATAAGTGTTCGCCATTATTTTCATGTCCTGATTCACAATATGTCTCCAGACAATTATTCTAATAAAGAAGTTTACACGAACCAACATCTCGATATGATCACTTTCGCAATAAACGGGGGCAAGATCTGGTGTAAGGTGAAGAACATACACCAGATACTAACCATGTCACATGTTAAGAAAAACTACTTAGCGAAGCTAAGAAAAGAGCACTACGACGTTCGAAAAAGAAATCGTAGTAGCTCCAAAGAGGATTACAACATCTTAAACAGAGTTTGTAGCTTCAAAAACAAATCTTAAGTAGAGCACTACAGAGCTCCGAAACTTAAAAAAAAAAGAGCATTACGACGTTCGAAAAAACGAACCGTAATAGCTCTAAAGAACATTACAAAATTCAAAGGATAATTTGTAGTAGCTCCAAACCTTAATTGAAAGAGTACTGCGACGTTCGAAAAACAAAGCGTAGTAGCTACAAAGAGTAATACAAAACTCAAAGAAGAATTTGTAACTCCAAATTTCTTAAGTAGAGCATTACAGAGCTCTGAAACATAAAAAAGAATAGAGCACTGCAACGTTCGAAAAGTGAAGCGTAGTAGCTCCAAAGAGCATTACAGAATTCAAAGAAGAATTTGTAGTAGCTATAAAACAAAGTACAGAGTGCACTACGATGTTTGAAAAAAAACAAACCGTAGTAGTTCCGAAAGAGCATTACGTAGTTCAACAACAACTTGTAGTAGCGCCAAAAGATCTTAATGAGAGCATTAGGAAGTTCAACAAGAACATGTAGTAGCTCCGAAAAATCTTAACAAGAGAATTACAAAGTTCAACAAGAACTTGTAGTAGCGCCAAAAGATCTTAACGAGAGCATTACGAAGTTCAACAAGAACTTGTAGCAGCTCCAAAGAATCTTAAATTGAGCATTACAAGAATTTGTAGCAGCTTCAAGAATTAATCTGAAGATTTCGAACTTACCAAAAGATTTTTGTAGTAGCTCCGGAACTTCATGAAAAAGCGTTGCGACGTTGCAGGAGCTTCAAAAAATTATTATAGAAATTTGAATCCCAATGTTCAGATCAAAGTAGCAGACTCCGACATGGAGCTGTAGTGTTCAACAAAAACTTGCAGGACCTCTGAAAATACTGTTTTTATGTACTATGAACACTATTGTAGTCCTGGCAACGGAGCCAAGGTAGTTGCTAACATTGTGTTTGTTTTTGAGAGTCCGAAACGTTTTATTGAGTCAAAATAGTAATAAATTGCATAA